TATATATATATATATAACCTTTATTATGCGGTATAGATAATTATAAGAACTACATAATTTAATATTTATATTTTTAGGACTAAACTATTGTACTAAATCGATTTAGGGGTAAGGAATTTCATATAGAAGTCCGAATTTTAGTGCTCTTACTACAATTCTAAGCTTGAATTTGAATTTATTATCGTAGAGTTAAACTTGAACTTAAGCCTATCATGATCATGACTCATTTCAACTCTATCTATAATTAAAAAAGAAAATGTTTGTCACTGGCTAGTGCAAATACAGCTGCTAGAGTGTTGAGAGGAAGATGATATTGATTTATGTGGTATTGCAACTTCAGTTTATATCTTAACTAATTCCCTGATCTCTAGTTCAGATTTGCTTGAAAATGTTGGAAGAATAGATAAGTAAGTAACTAATCTAATCTAATCCCGAGCAATCAGATTAACCTTGTATTGCGGAGGCGTTTGTTAAGCCGCCAGTGCATATTAAAATGGCATAGAAGATGTGGCTAACGTGCACCAGTGATGTACACTTTTCCAACCTCCACACAATTCGGTTAAAATAAGCATATTCTCTCTCTTTCTTTCCCAAGCGTCGTTTTCGTAATCGTAGTGTCTTTCATTTCATCCCGGTCTCTGTGATCGATCGTCTTCTGTTTCTCCACTCACTATTTTATTTCCCCCCTATAATTATTATCCTTTTTTTTATCTTTTACATTAAAAATATTGCTTCTTCATACCTTACCTGTTCCCAGAAAGGATAAAAATCTAGTATTGCCCCAGTCTAAAGTAGTCAAAGTTTCTGAATGGATCTGTGTGGCGTTCATGCGAAGAACCTTTTCCACACAAATTCATTTTGCTACAGACCCATTTCCTCCAACTTGGGAAGGACTGGAATTCCTTTCAGAGTTTTGGATGGACGAATGTTTGAGATCACTGTTTTGAGGCGAAAAGGGTATCGCCCATTTGTTGTCACCGCCACCGGCAAGAAGAATCGTGACAACTCTTCTTCTGGTCTGTAATTTGCTTTAATTTCAGATTTCTATTTTTTTTAAAATAATCATTAACTGCTTGTTTTGCCCTTGAAACTTCTTTTTCAGTCCTTTTGTTAACCTCATATATCACACCTAAACGACATGCATGTGAATTGCATTATGACTCGATGAAAATATCCATGTGTGTGTGTAGTTCTGTATTCGATCAATTTTTTTACATCGTTTGTCCCTGAAGGAAAGGTTGGATATATTTTCATTTTCCATAAACATTTTCTAATTTGATAATATTTTAAGAAAAGTTAAAGAAATGAAATGATATTTGGCTTCCCTTCCTTCCTTAATTTAATTTTCTCCGGTTCAATCCCAATTAATTCCATATAATCCTTTTTTTCTTATTGCCAAGTGTGAAGCTTACCTTGGCGGCCCAAGTTCCCAGTAATTTACTTTTGTGCTTTATTTGGGGATCTTTGTCATTCCCCCGTTTGACCTGGAAATTCATTGATTCTAGCTCACTACTACGCTTCCCTGCGACAAAACGTAACTGAGTTCTGAAAATAGCTTTATCATTAAGATTTAATTAGGAGTTCTAAATGTGATGGTTTCTTAACTTAGTGTTATTTAAGCTACTGGAAATTTAAATACAGGGTAGTGTAAACAATTTTTGCACTGTTATCCAATCAATCGTAAATTGCTACGTATGGTAATTGTTTACTTATGTAATAACTATTTTAAAAGTCACACCTGTGATGAGATTATTTCTAATAGGTTTACAATGTAAAGATCTCTACATATATTCTCATGCTATCTTTCTTAGGGACCTGGGATATATTTGTTCCTCCTAATGTGTTTTCTCTTCTTTCTGTTTGGAAATCCAAGTGTTTTCTTTATCAAATTGATCTGTGTTATTTATCTTTCTTTTAAAATATTTGTCATGAATGGGAGTGATATTTCTTTATTGTTTTCTTCCCCGGGCTGCAATAATTTTTTAACTTGGACCCTCATTCTCCATGAGGAATTTCAGGTTGAAGTTATAATTTCTATTAAAATGGAGCCATCTACAGATTGAGGACTTTTCCTGTATAATCATTTGATAGCCATACTTGTCTGTTATCCACTAATCAACCATACGTCGCCTATCTCAAAGCATTGAACAATGTTTTCCCTTAATTCTTGTACTTTACTCTTTTGCATTTTTAAAGTGTAGATTACTCTACCTTATTAATGAATCATAACTGTAGAAATGGGTGCTTTTTACAACTAATGCATGAAGATCTAGTTGTCTATTCTTGATGTTCTCTATATTGTTAAGGAACCCAATATTTTGTATATACAAAATGATTTTGAGTTTTCAAACATGCTTGAATCAGCCAAATTTGGAAATATTTATAGAATTGAGAACAGACACATCATTCCACTATTTAAGGTTATGTAATCTGTTATTTATATGAGCTTTTAGACAGCATATTTTGATTGTCATCATTCACTCTCTCTTTGCATGGATTTTTATTTTCCCGACATAATATAAATTGCACCTAAAGAGGCATTGGCTAGCTTTTCTATAACATAGGCCAAATAATGCTGTCTGGTGAAAACTAGTTGGTCTTTTATTGTGCTGTCCTTATTGCTTCTTGGTTAGAGTTTGGAGGCAACTTGGTAGAAATATATTGCAATAGAAGGAAGACATTTTGGATTGATCACTCAAATAAGTATTGACATCATAATGAAAAACATAATATTACTGCTTTGTTTTGCCATACTATTCCTCCTTTTCATTTTATTATTTTCTCTTGATAATAATATAATTTCACACGAGTTCCTTTTCTATGGATATATATATGTATGATCATTACAGGTAATGATGAACGGTCCATTCCAGAAGGAGATGGTACTAGAGGGAACAATTCTTCTGATGGTAACAAATCAGATAACAACTCTGAGAAATGTCATCATACTAATCTGGATTGGCGTGAATTCAGGGCAAAACTATATAGAGATGAGCTGGTGATGCATTCATCCCTAAATGGGATCTATATTTTCTACTTGCTCTGTAGTTCCTGCATGCCATTTTAAGTGGAAGGAGTCAACTTCATGAATCTTGAAATAATGTTGTTTCAAAACATCTGTTAGAGTCACACCTGTGCTTTGTTAGTCATAGAAGCATGCTTTATAGTTGGAGAATCATCTCCTGTTGATGGATTTGTCATTAATCTAGTTTTGCACTTTCTGCGTTTTTTCTGACTTGTTGATACTTGTAATACTTTTTATTATTGATATTGATGTGCTGGCAATCATTTATGTTGACTGTTGAGCATATCCAAGAAATAATACAGTATTTTACTGAAACACTATATTTCATTAACTGAGTTTTCTTCACTTCATTAACAGAAGGAAATATCAGATAGTGACACACATAATGAAGGTGGAGTGTTGCCCAATTCCAAACCTCTTGGAACACAGTGGGCTCATCCTATTCCAGTACCTGAGACTGGCTGCGTACTTGTGGCTACCGAAAAGCTTGATGGTGTTCGCACCTTTGAAAGAACTGTTATTCTCCTTCTCAGATCTGGAACTAGACACCCACAAGGAGGGCCTTTTGGAATTGTCATCAACCGTCCTCTTCACAAAAAAATTAAACACATGAAACCTACAAATCATGATCTATTAACTACCTTCTCTGATTGTTCTCTGCATTTCGGTGGACCACTTGAGGCAAGCATGGTTTTGTTGAAAGCAGAGGAGAAGATGAAGCTTCCAGGATTTGAAGAGGTAATCCCTGGGCTATGTTTTGGATCACGAAACAGTTTGGATGATGCTGCAGGGCTTGTGAAGAAGGGGATTCTCAAGCCTCATGACTTCAGATTCTTTGTTGGATACGCTGGATGGAAACTGGATCAGCTGAGAGATGAGATTGAGTCGGATTATTGGTATGTGGCTGCATGTAGCTCAAGTTTGCTTTGTGGGGCATTGTCAGAATCTTCAGAAAGTTTGTGGGAGGAGATTTTGCAGCTAATGGGTGGTCATTACTCAGAATTGAGCCGGAAGCCAAAGCAAGACATGTAGGTATCAGATGAATCACTTTAATGTTAAATAAGTAGATAATTTATCCTCGTGTCCTAGTCTATTATTACAAGAGGAATTGTACCTTGCTGGCTTCTTGTAATTATGCTTGTTAGTTTAGTTTGATGTAAGTATGAGATGAATGAACTTTTAGAATTTCATCTAGATCATAAAGAGTTGCAGCACCCTTGAATTGGTATTTCCACGAGACCTATAAACGATATGAGAAAATGGCCGCATGTCATGCACAAAAGCACTAAACATATTTCTAGAAACGAAACTGTTGCATTGTAATGTTGGATTTGAGTCCTATATCATTTGCTAAGCAATACTGAATTCATTTTATTGTGTTTTGAATTGCTTAAAAAATTAAAATAAATAAATTTTGACTATTTTATACCGTCTTTTTTTTTTTGGTACATCAGGAAGTTAAAGAAAGAAAACAACAAAATAAAGGAATGAAAGAAAAGAAACAAAAACAAACCACTAGTACTGGTAAAAAAATCAATATGTAAAGTTTTTTTATTGAAAAATATATTGAAGTTATACGAGTCAATTCAAAAACTTTATTGTCTTTTGCCATGCAAAAACATTATTCATGTGTTTTCATAATTAAATTAAACAAACATTTTTAATTAAATTTGAATTATTTTCACGATTAGAGTTAGTTTGTTCAATGTGAAGTTATATACCGTTTCAACTTTAACAGTAACTGCATCATCATTCTTTCAAACTTGCTCCATTACTCTTAAAATCTCTTTCAATGAAGAAAATTTCATGCCCAATTTTCAATTTTTTTTTCTTGGCATTTTCTTCTTCCAAAACTTTGGTTATTTTATTTTAGTTTAGAAACTTCATCATTTGAGTTCAACTTGGTTTCTTCCATTTCAACCTCTTCATTTATGTTCTTCCTTGGTTTCTTCATAAGTTTTTTTTTAAGGGTATGTTTGGTTCAAAGAAACAGAAAATAGGGGAGGAGAGAAATTTTAATGGAGGGAAGGGGATGAGAGAAAAGAAGTTAAAAATTTTGTTTCGTTGAGAGGAGAGAAAGAAAGTAGTTCTTTTCTTGTTAGGATGTTGCTGTAATGAAACAACTTTGGGTTACAGAAATTAGCTTGTCCTTTTTTTTTATACAAAACATGTTTTTCTTTCCGGTTAAAAAATTTATTCAGACATAGTCATTTTCTCATTTAAAGATCATAAATAATAAATATTTAATACATATCCTTTTTTATGACTAACGATTTGTCTTATCCATTAACAAGACTGTTTTAATGAAGTTATCATACAAGATTCGTAGTAGGTAAACTTATATTGTTCCTTCCATTTCCCTCCAACCAATCACTATGTTAACATAGTCTAATAGTCCTTTTGCATATATATATTTCCTCCTAAAAGTGATAGACCTTTTTCATCAAGGGATAGAACACTTTCTTCCTCCCTATTCTCAAAGTGAATATCTTATAAACTATCATCCCCCATTCTAATTGCTTCATCGTTAACTATGATACATGCATCACCTATCTTTCCCTCCCACCATTAAAAGCCTGATTTCCTTTTCCTTTCCCATTGCAAAATAGTTTTCATTTAAAGTTAGCATATGAACTTCTTTTACATCACGCGGTAAAATCACATCATCTTTTAAATAAATGTGTACGTCACACTTATTTATCAATGCATAATCCACAAATTCCAATACATGACTATTTGGTGTAATGAGTTTCAAACCCTCTTCAAAACTTGACTCCTTAATGTTCCACCATATTTTGACATTTTTCAGAGTATCCAAGACCATCTATCCACATCGAGGTTATGCACAACTTGAGTTAATCTCTTTTGGTATTTGGTAACAAAGATATTGAGTTAATCTCTTTTTAAAATATACTATTTTGTTTTAACATTTTTAGAAATATTTCCGATTACATTTTATTTAATTAAATATATTGTATTACTGTTATAGTGAGAAATCGGTAAATCAATAAACGATGTTTCATTTCTATTTTGATTCAAACATTCAAAATCCCTTTGAGAAATCGATAGTTCTAAACTAATTTCTCATCAGTTTTTTTTGTTTTTTTTTTTGTTTTTCTTTTGTGTAAATGTTTTAAAATTATTCTAGTTATAATTAAAAAATTTAAATTTACAAATTAATATATTTTATAATTTAAATATTTCACTTTTATTTAATAAATATAAATAATATAATCTTTTGAATTAATTTAATAATTTAATTTTTCAATAAATAAATATATTTTAATATTTTTAAATTATTTATTTATTTATTTATTTTAAAATCTGTTGACTAAAAAAATATAATATTTTTAGGGTATTTAAAATTTTAATTTTTATTAAAAAAATAGATAATTTGAAATTATTTATTAAAATTATAAAATTATATAATTTATTTTATTTTATTTTTGTCTTTAATTTGAAACATAGGAAAAAAATAATACTTTCATTAAGATGAACAATTTAGAAATATTTATCCCAACAAAATAGGAGATGAAATAAATAAAAATAACAAGAAAATCACAATCCACTAAATTACATAATAAGAATATATTTTAATAAAGTTTATGCCCATTAGTTCCACACCTTGAAGGTTTTCGATTCCTTATTGGGTTTCGACGACCAATGTGTGGTTGTTGTGGTAAACTTGCACCTCATGATGTTCTATATAAGCAGTATCCGTAGGAGGATTCAATGAAGGACTTCCATCGACCTTAGAGTGATAAGAAGAAAATGAGGAAAAATTCATGCCTTTCATGTAATCATATGCACTTTGTGGCTTGTGTACATTGACGCCAAAAAGATTGCTTATGAAATCTTCTATGGGAGTTGTTGTTGTTGGTGGGGTGTTCATGAATTCTTTATGTTGCGTATGATATGGTGGATTCATTGAAAGAGACTAGGAATATTATTCCACTCTATAAGGTGGTTGGTTATCTCCAGCTACTGAGGTATGTGTTGGTGTTGGATAATTTTGTTGAAATCTTGTTGTTGTTGGGTGTTGTGTACTAGAAATGGATGCACCAGATAAAGAATATTGGCTATAAAGAAATATTTTTGAATTTGCACGAAACCATTGCAAATATTCAGGAGTGTGTTGAAGAGGCCCTTAAAGTGTTTGCCCAAAAATAACATGTTTGCGTCTGTCTTTCCAAACTAAAATCCAGTTTGCATGCTGTTCAGCCTAGTTGGTGTCACTGTGTACTCTCATGTCAATTTTTTGCATTTTAGCAAGATTATATGCTTCATTAGGGATTGGTTGCCACAAGAAGTCCATATTCTAGAATCCTTGTAAGCACGTGTTGGTAATGAGGACTCAAATCCCCTATATGGCATCCATAGAAACTGAAAAAAGAAAAAGGTTTAGACTAGAAATTAATTGAATAAAAGTTTAATCAAAGAGAGTATGTTTGAGATAAGTTGACATTGTACTACCTTGTTATGATTCATGTTATCATATCTTAATCTATAGCCAACCAAATCTCCATGGGACATTGAAGTTAGCGGAAAAACACAGAGAATGGGGTTAAATATGTGTTTGTGTGAAGGAAGGACATTTTAAAAACATTTTCCTCAAAAACTACGTCTGAAGGGTTTATCGTCTGCTAAGGAAAATAGTTTATAATAATAGTTACTGATGTTCTTACATTTTCCTTTTCAAGATAGTTTCATTTAAAAACAAGTAGTAGATAAGGCACCTTAGTGTAATATATTTGTTAAACAAAATTTGCATCTTTGTCTGAAGAATAGTTTGAATAATAAGTAAACATTGGATGAATTTTTTCACAAAGAGTTAATCAGTTAAGGAAGATTTATGTCTAAGTAGACGAGAAAAACAATGCAATTACTTTATACTGGTTCGCTCAATTGAGCTACATCTAGTCTCCTTCAACTGAAGGGTTCCGCTAGATATCAAAATGAAGAACATTGAGTATTATCGTTCACTCCTGGACCTGAGTATTCTCGACCACTTCTGGCTCGTTGGCTTCACTCACCAACGCTAGTATTCTTAAACCACTTCTGGTTCTCCAAGTATTCTCAACCACTCCTGGCCCGTTGGCTTCACTCACCTAAACCACTTCTGGTTCTCCAAGTATTCTCGACCACTTTTGGCTTGTTGGCTTCACTCACCAACGCTTGTATTCTTAAACCACTTTTGGTTCCCCAAGTATTCTTTCCATAGCCTCTTCAGGCTTTACAAATGATAGATGTATAGTCAAGTTTAAGTGTTTGGGTTACTCTCACAGAGAGGATACATATATCATCTACACTCACTAAGTTTTTGTTTCTAAGATGTACACATTTAGAATTCCTTAGTTTACAGAGAGAATTACAATAAGGTACATTTGACTCTACATGCTCTGTCTCTGATTTCATTACTTTGTGGGCTAAATATCACTCTTCTTCATGCTTGCACCATTTTGGGCCAAACATCCAACCTCTTAAGGTTTGATGTTGAGACTTATATATAGTCTTGTGAAATTTTCCCGTTGCAAGTATCCGTTGAAGCAAACATAGTCGTTCACGACCCGTTTGATCTTGTCATTTAATGCTCAGATTCTTGCATTAAATGTTGCTTCTTGTGATAGACCTTGCGTGAAGTGTTCTTTGTCCTAGTAGCAATTGTGTCTAAATATAGCAGAGTCCTAGGAACTTTTTTGTCCTTTTCTGGTCTCATAGCTATGAAGTTTTGTCTTTGTCTGAAAAAGTAATGTACTTTCTCTGACATATGCATGCTTTTAATTTTGTGCTTGATTTTCTCGTTCCTTCTTCTCTTCTCACAATTCAGATAACTACTTGTGTTCTCTTGTGAGTGTGGGTGACATTCAAATTGTCCGTTTGAAGCTTGATTCTATTGCGCGACATTCTTCGTCTGCGTTTGATGTTCTATATGTAGTTCAAACTTTGACCTTTGTCTGAACATCTATTTTTAACATATTGACTTTTCCTTTCGTCTGGTCAACCTTGTATATGGTCAGACTTTCCATTTCTTCTGGAGTTTCTTTAAGGTTATTAACCATCTCCCGTTTAAGTCTTTGTGTTTCGCCTTAGATTATGCTTGATGCGCTATCGTTTTGTTCTTGTTGGATGCTTATGCTGGCTTCTCGTCTGTTGTCTTGTATCATTTGATGCATATGTTTGTCCTTCATCTTTCCTGTACTCATGTTCTTCTGAAATACTAACACACTTGTTAGAGATAACCACATGCATTATATTTGTCATACTTAAAACATTCCTG